CAGTGCTGGAGCCCCCCATCGAGGTATGGCTCCTGTGTGATGAGTGAGGAAGAGTCTTCAGGAAATACTCTGTGGAGAGTGCAGCAGCTTCTTATCCTCAACTCCAAACTGAAGATTGAGGAAGCTCAAACTGATAGTGAAGAGACGGGAGAACAGGCATCCTCACTGGCCTGCCACTAGCTTTTCAACTGCCTCTGAGTAGTTTGAGATCCTAGCTGAGTGCAGTCTTTGAATCTAGACGTCATTTGATGAAAAACATGAGCAAAATGTTAAGAATTAGTTGCAGTGAAAAAGGGGATATCTTACCCCTTGCATAAGCTTAGCTGGTATGGTTAGAGCAGAGGTAGAAAGGCTTTTCACTTTCCTACTTGTTTGATATTCAGAACAATTCTTTGGTGAAGAAAGCCACTCCTTGCACCAGAGTGTGACAAATCTCTTGGATTTCTTAATCACACGCTGCTCTGTTATTTCTGCTATGGATGTGAAATAATTATTGGAAAATAATGTTGAAGTTTCTACATTAGAAAATAATGTAGAAGTTTCTAGCCATATAAAGTGTGATACAAAATACTTTATACCCAGTGCTATTTAGTTTGTGGTCTCTTTGCTTTGTGTTTGTTTATTTGGCTTGTGTATCTAAACCAATTTTAAATATATTTGAGTAGATGAGGATAGGCAAATGTTGGGTGAACACTTGCCTGATTCAATTGTGGATGCAAAATTTTGACTCTTCATAGATTCACTAAAATTTTTCATTGCTTTAATATTACAATCACGCATAGGCAACTGACAGTGATGGCAATGCTGTCTGTATGTATATTCAGAGACTTTGATCTAATATACAGATAAGTTTGCCTCTCTTTTTTTTGGCAAGCTCTATCCACACTACAGGTAGTCCTTGGGTTACAACAGCAGTTGGGACCAGAATTTCCATTCTTAAGCGATGCAGTCATAAAGTGTGACATCATGTGACCACGCTGCTTAGCAATGGCAGTTCCAGCAGTCCTTGGTTACTGTTGTTAAGTGAGGACCATATGGGTCATTAAGTGAGGACTTCATGTGATTGCAACTTATGACTTTTTGCTGGCTTCCTCATTGATTTTGCTTGTGGGAAGCTGGCAGGGAAGGTTGCAAATTGCGATCACATGACCACAGGGTGCTGTGATGGTTGGAAATCTGGGCCAGTTGCCGAATGCCCGAATAGCAATCTTGTGACTGTGGGGGTGCAGCAATGGCTGGAACATCAAGGACCAGTTGTAAGTACTACTCATTCAGCACTCTCACAAATTTGAACAGTTGCTGAGCAAATGGTCGTTAAATGAGGACCACTGTACTGAAAGCTTTTGTGAAAAATGCTCTACATGTCTCTTTTCTTTACTCTACTACAGTATTAATCCCCATAGTACTGAGTGTACAAAGAACACTTGGAATTCTTATCTTGATGGTAGTCATGGCGATTGTTTGAGATAGCCTATGATTGTTTTTCATTTATGGAGAGTAATTAAGGCACAGAGAATTACCATTCACATAGCAACAAGGTCATTAGTGTGGTAGAGATCAGTGATATGAATACCAAACTCTCTTGTTCAAAGCTACCGTATTTAGAGTGCCATTAACTTTGTTATCAAATTAACTTTGTTATCCAACTATATTGTAAATGTTTGCTCTCACTGAGCTGGAGCAAAGATACCTATTATTTGCATGTGGTAAGTAGTTACAGCTAAAATAGATAGCCTATTACTTCTGCAACAGCTGGTGTTAGTTTGCTTGCGCACCATCTCCATTATTGTCAAGCATGGCTCAGCCACCCACATGTTATTCAGACTTTTAAGTTATACGGAATTATTCAACAGATTTATTAAAATCTGCCCATCGCTTTCTTTGTTTTTAAGGTGGTAAAAGGAAAGACAGCTTTTGCAGAGCTATGCAAAAGAAAGTTTGAACTTGCTTGAATTTTTATGAAATGAAAATAGTTGTGTGTATTGTCGAAGGCTTTCACGGCCAGCATACGATGGCTGGTGTGGGTCTTCCGGGCTGTGTGGCCGTGTTCTTGAAATTTT